GTAGATAGTGGATTTTTTTGGTTTTTTTGAAGTAGATAGTGGATTTTTTTGGTTTTGTTGAAGCAGATAGTGGATTTTTTTTTTTTTGTTGAAGCAGATAGTGGATTTTGGGGGGGGGGGGTTGTTGAAGCAGATAGTGGATTTTGGGGTGGGTGGTTGTTGAAGCAGATAGTGGATTTTTGTTTTTGTTTTTGCTGAAGCAGATAGTACATTTTTTGTTTTGTTTTTGCTGAAGCAGATAGTAAATTTTTGTTTTGTTTTTGTTGAAGCAGATAGTTGATGCTTTATGTTGTTTCGCCTGTGTAGAAGCGGAGCTCTGTCGCCACCTGGCGGTCAGAGGCGGTCACTGTCTGTGTTTCCTAAACTGAAGATGGCGACAGGAGTCCTTCAGAGAGTCCGCGGAGGCTTCACTCCGGCTAAAAACAGCGCTCTGTCAGCCGGAAACCTCTCTCTCTGGGTCAGGTGAGCAGTCACAGTCCTGGGCACCTGGCCGTCGTGTTTGCAGCTTATTACTTTGGCTGTTGTGTGAAATATTCACCCTGCTTTTCTGTGGCTACCATGAGCCTGATAAAGCTAACCCGCTGACTGTTAGCAAACCGGGATTGGCCTTCAGCTGTTGGTCACTCTGAAGATTCATCCCCTATTGATTTATCCCTGGAGGTGTGTGATAAAAGCTGCGTGTGTTGATTGGCAGACGTGAAATAACACCAGTCTCTGTCATATTTTGCCTTTAACCGTGTGTAGTGCTCAAGGTCAGCTTGTTACTTCTTGTTTAGCTTCATCATAAGAAATACACAGCTCTATTTATTTCAAGCAGCATGTGGGTCATCACCCTTCATGGAAATGCGCTAATATGCACTGTATACTTTTAAGCTGCATTGTCGCAGTTCCTGGTGTAGTCCTTCATCGTTTCACCCTGTGTGTTCTTGGTTCAGAGGATTTTCAGCATCTAACAGCAGAAACGGAGAGGACAGCTGGTTTAGGTCTCTGTTTGTCAGGAAGGTCGATCCCAGAAAAGACGCACACTCCACCTTGCTGACCAAAAACGAGGAAAGTAACCTCTACAAAATTCAGTGTAAGGTCCCCACATGAATATTGGCTCCTCGACTTTTAATGTGTCTAATAATAAGACCAATAATAATGACATGTCTTCCTTCGTCAGTCCATAATGTGAAGCCAGAGTGCCTGGATGACTACAATAAGCTGTGGTAAGTGTAATTATGACTAAAATATGTATATATTAGATTACTAAAATTAATCACAGTGCCTTGCAAAAAATATTCATGCCCTTCGCATTAGACTTTAGACTCTATCACTCAGGTCTTGTGGTTCTGGTCTACTCTTCATCCCCAGAGAGTGCCTGAGAAGATTGGTAATCACATCCTGCTGCGGTTTTTCACATAGTTTTAGGCCTGGACTTTGAGTAAGCCATTCCAACACAAGAAGATGTTTTGATTTAAACCCTTCTGTTGTACCTCTGGCTCATTTTCCTGCTGTAAGGAGAACCTCTTCCTCAGTCCAAAGTCTTTTGCCTCCTCCAGCATTTATCTATATTTAGCTCAATTAAACCTCCTATTCTTTCATCAGCACCTGTCTTTAGTAAAGACCAGATTACTTATTGTTATGTTTATTGTTATGTTTGAACCTTGGAATGCAGTTCAGTAACATTAGCTTGTCTATATGTTCTCTATAGATGTTCCCTAACAAAGCTGAGGCCTTCATAGAATAGCAGTAGTCTTACTGAGCTTAAAACACACACAAGTGGACATTACTTGATAATCACTTTCGAAGACAATTGGTTGCCCTTCATTTTGTTTGGGGTATCAGAGTGGAAGGGGGGCTAATTTAAAATACACAAACCTCTTTTCAGATTTTTGATGTTGGGGGGGAAAAAATAGAAAACTGTGCGCCCTTTTAATAATTTTGCACTAGTGCGTTGCTCTCATACATAAACTCCAATATAATGCACAGACGTTTACAGTTGTAATGCGAGAATATTGGGGGGGGAAAAATGAAGTGATCTAAATACTTTTGCAAGGCTCTGCATGAAATCATTCTCAACTGTCTCAACATAATGAAGACTGAAGGATATGTATTTATGGTTAAAATCAGATTGTTGCTCAGATACTGCTGGTTAGAAGTTAGCTTTAGCGTTTAAACGTCACCTGTGCTCTCCTGTCGCAGCGAGGACGTTCTGCCCTCCATCCATGCTGATAAGTACTACCCCTGTGAGCTGGTGGGAACCTGGAATACCTGGTATGGAGAACAAGACCAGGCTGGTAGGATTACTAATAACAACACACAAATCTGCAGTATAAGCAGGGCTCTGCTCTTGCGCCTGGTTCTGCAATCAGCAGACAAGGCCTACTGCGTCAACATAAAATCCATCATTTACAGACAATAAACTGCCGGTTTGTAATTTATGATTGTTTGTTTGTGGATTTTTTTATATTTCTTTGTTTTTGTTTTTTTGTTGTTGTTGTTGTTTTGTTTTTTTGTTGTTGTTTTTTTTTTGTTAAAATTGTAACTTCGCTGAACTAACTTTCCACCTGGTTATAGTTGAACTGCTGCTAATGAGAAGTCGTTTCTGCAGTTCATCTGTGGCGCTACAGAGGCGGCTACCCTGCTCTGACTGAGGTCATGAACAAGCTCCGGCAGAATAAGGTGACCTCCGTTTCCTGCGCTTTACCTCCGTTTTTTGCTCTCGTTTCATCGCCCGCCCAATAAAGTCAAAGTAAATCTCACGGATCCGTGTCTGTCGGACGCCAGGAGTTCACGGCGTACAGGAAGGAGCGCGGGAAGATGCTGCTGTCGCGCAGGAACCAGCTCCTGCTGGAGTTCAGCTTCTGGAACGAGCCCGTCCCCCGGGAAGGCCCCAACATTTACGAGCTCAGGTCTTATCAGCTCAGGGTGAGGAACGCCGCCAACATGCCATCGCAGCAGCGGTGCTCTGTGCTCAGAGTCGTCGCTGCACTGGGTCACAGGAGGAGACTGCAGAAATGTAGCTGACTGCAGGATCTGTTTGCACTGATGAAATTAGGCAAATCTCCTTTAAATATCCACACTCAAACTCATCAGGAGTATCGCTGTTTGTGTTTACTTAGCGATTTAGTTTATATTAAACTTCAAAACCCCAATATCAGCATTATTCTGTTCATTTTGAGCTTTTATTTACTTTTTTTAATCAATTTTCTTCAGTGAAATTCAGTGATTCTTTTAACAAAAAACATTTCATTTTGTTTTGTAGATTTCATCTAATCCACATAGGGTCAAAATTAGACACACAAGTTAAGATATATACACAAATTCATTATCTTCAAGCCTGTATGAAGATTTTTTTACTCTTTATTCGATTTTTGAAGTTGAAGGCTCCATTATTATGCCACACTGAAAAAGGGAACATTTAAAGTAAATGAATAAGAGCCCAAAATATAGCTACAATCTTTACAGATGTTAACAAAGTATCTTTTTCACGCCTTACTTTTTATAGTGAAATCAGTTTGCAACATTTTCTTCTGTGACACTTCTCACAAAACTATTTCTAGTTTTATCTGAAGCTCTGTTGCGTTCATCAGACCAAATAAAGGAAGAACTCCCCTGGTTGGTCCATTTAGCCCCCACGCATTTGGATTTTTTTATAAACATTTTCATAGATACATAGATCCGCTCAGAACCAAGCCCTCTCCTGCAGATTAAGTTCTCCTTTCTAATCTGAAAAGGTCAGCCTTCATCTAGCTGTGCTCCCCCTGCAACATGTGAAAAATGCCCTCCATTACTACCTGGTCTCGGGCTGAGGTTATATCTGAGAAACGGCAGGAAACGTCTTGTCTTAAACCCAGTCGGGTGATTGAAGAAGCCTTCACGTGTCGTTATTCTTCCACCTTAATGTATTTAATCTGGAAAGAAGTTTTGAACACTGTTTTATTGCAATAAGGAATGTTGTGTTTTCTCCCTCCTCCTGCAGCCAGGAACCATGATCGAGTGGGGTAATTACTGGTAAGGCAGCCTGAATTCACTTGACTCATTGAACTGTAGTTACAGAGCAGTTGCAGCACATGAACCCTCTCTCATTACACTGTCATTAACAAGAGATATTCCCCCGGAGACGCTTCGTATTTGAAGCTGCGCTGTAACTGAGATTAAATCTCAAGTGAAGCTGTTTGCTTGACGGATTTGTACATAATAAAAGAGACGTTACTTTAAGCAGCCGTCTTCTTAATGACAAATGACAGCATAATTGAGGCAGCTAAAGATTTTTTTTCCAATAAAAATTGTTCTGTCAACACATCTAGCGCAGTTTTTATATACTTTAGTGCAACGAAATGAGGTGTAGCTACTTTTCTAACGTGACGCCTCGTATTTCATTCTGTCTCTGGTGGGGGAGAAATATATCCACACTACTCTAAGGCTGGTTAATATTGCCTTTTTGTTGCTTTTCTGGTTGCTTTAATTCGCCGTTATTTGAGGAACCCCCTGTAGACCTATAAATAATGTCAGTAAAGCTATTTAAAGCAATTTCAACGTAATTTGTGTAGGCGACAGCTTAAAGTTCTGCTTCAAGTTACAACAACACGTAGAAATGAGCCTTCAGAGTTTAACAGTCGCGATCTGAAAACGCGTGTTTGCGTTGGGGCGAGCGTAATGAGGCTAAAACATTCCTTTCACAGCAGCTCACTCAACCTGGCCCGCGTTAGGGTTCAGGGCAGCTCGCTGATCGATCAGGTTAATGCCAGTTTTCAGACGGGGAGCCAGAGTTAATTGAGACATGAGAGTTTATGATCTTTTGAGGAAGGTTTGGTGTGTTTTGGCGCCGGTTACGACTCGAGCTGCTTCTTGTCCTGCAGGGCCAGAGCAATCCGATACCGCCAGCGCAACAGAGAGGCCGTGGGAGGGTTTTTCTCCCAGATCGGTGACCTTTACTTGGTCCATCACCTTTGGGGTATGACTGAACACAAGCAGGGCCAAGTTTACATCACTTCACCTATTAACCGATTTGTTTTTTTCTTTTTAATATTGTAAGCTAAATTAGACCTCCAGACTTGTTAAAAAGCCTCACATTGGTTACATAAATCTTGCATTAGGATTTCTGACAAAATAAGCAGAATATAATCCTAAAAAGTTAACTTTTATAAGAAATGTTTATGGCTCTATAAAGGCAGTTATAATTAGCTGAGATCATTTTATTGGCCCTCATACGGAAACATAAACTATCAATGCTAGCAAACTTTGTTTGTGTCTTTAAGAAAGGCGTTGAACTCCGAAGGCCAACGCAGCGTGACATCACTGGGATACGGCTAAGAACCATAAAACTAAAATTAATAAGAAGACGGACACTTAAATACTGCCTTGTTGAAAATAGTAGCAAATTGGCATCAATTCTTATTTCCATCACTCTTTTTGACAGAAAATGTTTGTATATGACAAATAATTAACCAACCCAGCAGTAAGCATGCTACTTATCCTCCAGAAAACCTGCTAAGCCCAGTGGCAGTCATCTAGCGGCCTGCCATTGTTTTTGAGTTAAATGTTTAATGTTGACAGAAAATTTGAAAAATTACTTTGTAATTATGTTATTATGAGGCATTACTAAAAAAAATACCTAAATTCCAACTGTAAAGTCTTAAAAAAAGAAGTCGAACAATAAAAACGTAAATCAGTAAAGGATGCTTAGCCTGGTGGAGGTTCAAATAAAGCCTGGTGGCCCGCCAGGCTTGCAGTATACTGGGGAATTGTGTTGTGGAATTGTATCCCTAATTAAAGATTGTATGTTAAATTTTTCTGTGGAGTTTAATCATTAAGGAAATACATTTTGTGTAAAAATGTTGAATCAAACTGTTTCTGGTCTCATGAAATGTTCAAACTTTCTGAGAAGCTCAAGTCTGGATTTTTATTATTTGAAAGGAATAATCATAAACAAACAGGAACAAACTCTTCAGATGTATTACTGTGTCTTTTAATGAACTAAATCATCTTTTCTGACTGTATTCTAATTTATCAAGTTGTCCCTTTACTGTTTGACTCGCAGCTTACAAAGACCTTCTGTCCCGGGAAGCCACCAGGAACGCCGTGTGGCAGCAGGAGGGCTGGCATGAAGTGGTGTATTACACCGGTGAGCTAAATGAAATCCTTCGTACTCCAGCTACTGTGGTTTTCCTTACGTCACCCTGATGAACCTCTCCATGTATCCCTCTCTGCAGTCCCTCTCATTCAGCACATGGATTCTAGGATCATGATCCCAACTAAAGCTTCTCCGCTGCAGTAAGGAGGGACGATCTGTTATCAAGCTGGCCCCCTTTCAAATGTTACATTTCTTCTGTGAATCGCCATCATGGGTCCAACTTTCTGTCAGTGCTACCAAAAAAAAAAAAAAAAAAAAAAAACCCCTTTTTTTTTTTTTTTTTTTTTT